GGGCTGATTCCTTTTATATCAGCGACGGTACACCCAATTGCACGTTTGAACTTTTTTAACACCTCCAGTAGTTGTATTTCCTGCATGTCATTTAATCCAGAGGCAATAATTACAGGAAGAGTATTGGAATCACCCAAATAAGCGTACCTCAAGTGTGCCGGTAAGGGTCTTAGTTCCAAAATGGGAGGCTCTTCCACCGAGGGCTTATGCTGCTTTAAGGGCTTTGTTGACAAGTCCAACGACTCGAAATGCCTCCTAGACTTTGTTGCTGCATGCCTACCCTCCAACCATGATACTTGTTTATCATTGTTGTCCTCATTAATCTCCGAATCAATCAGGTCCTCCTCTGTCATCAATTTCTCAGCACATGTCTTTTCAAACTCTGCTGCCACTAATGAATCCAAAACGTTCATTGCTGAACATTCCTTCACCTCATCAGTGAAACGTATCGCTTTGAACACATTGAAAGTGACTTGCTAATCGTGGACCCTCATTGTCAACTCTCCTTTTTGAACATCTATCAACGTCCTGCCTGTAGCTAAGAAGGGTCTCCCCAAGATAATCGGTACCTCTTTATTCGCTTCATAGTCTAACATGATGAAGTCGGCTGGAAATATAAATTTGTCCACCCGTACTAGGACGTCTTCTATTTTTCCCTCTGGGTGAGCATAAGACCTGTCAGCTAATTACAATGTAATAGTGGTGGGTCTCGCTTCACCTATTCCTAGCTTTCTAAAAATGGACATTGGCATTAAATTAATGCTCGCCCCCAAGTCACACAAAGCTTTTCTGATATATTGATCTCCAATGGAGCACGGTATGGTGAAGCTACCAGGATCCTTCAACTTGGGTGGCAGCCGATTCTTCAAGATTGCACTGCATTCTTCGGTTAGTGCCACCGTCTCGAATTCACCTAGCCTTCATTTCTTTGAGAGGATATCCTTCATGAACTTAACGTAACTCGGCATTTGCTCCAATGCCTCGACGAGTGGAATGTTGATATGGAGTTGTTTCAGCACGTCAAGGAATCTCCTGAATTGCTTATCTTGTTTTTGATTCTGAAATCTCTGTGGAAATGGGGGTGGAGGTCTCTCTGGTGTGTTTTGCTTCAGCTTTACTGTAGCATCCTGGTCGACCACATCCTGTTCTGATTCAGCTGGTGGTTGCTGGACTTCCTGGGTTTGGATCGAAGAGTGCTCTGTTGCTGCAGTCTATTGAGTTGGTTGTTCAATTTCTCTACCATTCCGAAGTGTGATAGCTTTGCAATGCTCCTTGCACTGTTCCTTACCATCTCTTCTTGGGTTTTCCGTATCGCTCAGAAGCGATCCTTGGGGTCTATTACTGAGAACATTAGCCAACTGCCCCACTTGATTTTCCAAGGTCCTCAACGATGCAGCTTGACTCTGGAGGAGAGCTGCTTGACCCTGAATGAGTGAGTCATTCCTTGCCATGTACTCTTTAAGTAATGCCTCCATAGGGGTTGATGACGCTTGATGTGGCTGCCTCTGATTTAATTGCTCTTGAGGTGGCTGTCTTTGATGTTGATGTTGATGAAATCCTAGGGGATATGCTGGTTTGCTAGGCCCTGGCATCGAACTAGCTTCTTGATTCGACCAAGAAAAATTCAGATGCTGCTTCCACCCCTGGTTATATGAGTTGGAATAAGGGTTGTTATTCTGGTTAAAGTTGTTCACATAGCAAACCGACTCGGGGTTGGATGGGCAATTTTCAAATGAGTGTTTAGCTCCACAGTAGACACAAGTTAATGCAACTGGGGTTGCTGCATTAGCTGGAGCAGCCACATTTAGAGACTTCAAAATATTGGAAAGAGAAGAAACTTGAGCAGTCAACGCAGTCACCGCATCTACTTCATGAATTCCTGCCACTCGTCTCCCTGCAGAAACTCTTTCGGTGGGCCACTGGTAATTGTTGTTAGACATTCTTTCCAAAATTTCATAAGCCTTGTTGTATGACTTCACAAGTAAGGCTCCATTTGCTGATGCGTCCACCATGGCTCTAGTCGAAGCATTGAGCCCATTGTAGAAGGTTTCCATTTGAATCCAATAGGGGAGCCCGTGGTATGGACACTTCCTCAATAATTCCTTAAAGCGTTCCCATGATTCACATAGAGCTTCCCCTTCCAACTGCTGAAATGATGTGATATCATTCCTAAGTTTGGCATTTTTGTTCGGAGGGAAATATTTCACCAGAAATTTCTCAGCCAAATCATTCCAATTAGCTACCGAATCTGGTGGCAGAGAATTCAGCCATGCTCTAGCTCGGTCCCTTAGAGAATAAGGAAATAACTTGAGACGAAGAGCCTCTTCTGTCACACCTGGGGCCTTAAATGCTTCACATACTTCAATGAAAAGCCGAAGGTGCATGTGTGGATCATCGGTTATCATCACACTAAACTGCCCCACAGTTTGGAGCATTTGGAACATGACTGGCTTCAACTCGAACTTAGTTGCCTGGATTTCTGGCCTCACAATGCCTGGATGCAAACCATCGAGCATGGGGATGGCATAATCCCTGATGGCCCTGTCCCTATCCTCTGCTATTACTACCACTTGATTACCTTGATTATTCCCACCTACTCCGTCAACCATTTCTTCAATTCCAGCTAACCCCTGTTGTTCCCTTCTTCTGGCTCTAAAGGTTCTTTCAATCTCCGGGTCCAAGGGAATCAAATCTGCATCCCTTGGTCTATTCATGCAAGAAGGTTACACCTGCTTTAGCACAACAGGAGCAACTGAGATTAACAGAAGCAATATTGGATTTAAATGAACAAAAACTGATTTCTATAATAACTTTCTATTAACGCCAAGTCCCCGGCAACGGCGCCAAAAACTTGTCCGCCAAAAACTCTATGCATAAAATGACTCCACGCAAGCGCACGCAATCGAACAAGTAATATAGTAATGAGTAAAGTATCGTCTCCACAGGGACTGAGTTAATGAGGAATTCTTTTACAAAACCAGTTTTATCAATATGATTGAGAATAGTTTGAATGCCAAATTGATATTAATTAAGTGAAAAGAATGTATAAGACCAAAGACTGTAATTTAAATGCAGACAAGAGGTAAAAGTCAACAA